ACCTGGAAAGCCGAGTGCGCGTTCAGGTAGAATTCGTTGATGACAGGCGAAACAATTTTAGTGTCGACAACTGTACCGGGAGGAATATTCTGTTCCACGGCACGATTTCCCGATATGTTCTAGAACACATTATAGAACTTTCTATAAGGGCTCCCAAACCAGAAGGAAACGGGGGAAAACTTACGGCTTTGTAAAGACGTTCGTTGTGATCCTTCGAAACAGCCAAAGCCGTCACACTAGGCTTGTAAGTAGCCGATAGTGATGTGATTCCCGTGTTAATCGCTTTCATGTACGTGTCGGTCACCTGAAATATTAAGGTTCACAGAGTGACCACACGCTCTTGCATAAATTTACCAATAACGACTAGATAGCCGTTCATTGATGTCCACACTCTGCGTCAGCCTTTTCAGCGACTAGCAAAGTGCATGTATCGAGTACCGTTTGAGCTTTCGCCTGCATTCTGACAAGGGAGGTCTTTGAGGTCGTGGCGCGTTTTTTAAAAATGGTTTGTTGCTTGTTGTAGGGGTCCATACAAGGATTACAAAAATGGGTTTCATTTTTGCTATGCGTTTCTGGGGAGGTCAAAAACTGAGTGAAAACAATTTGACGAGAAATCGCGATTTTAACCGTGTTAATGGGCTCTGTTGTAGCTGTAACTTTGACAGTGCATAATTCATGAGGTGTCCCTTCACTATGTATTGAAAAGATAGCAAAGTAAAGCCAATAAGAAAGTGGACGGAGGGGAGTAATACCGAAGTTACTTGAACGATTCTCGCAACCGCTGTTTCGCGGTCGGCGGATGGCGGAGTGGATAGTGCGGTGGGCTCTCGCGAAGAAGGTTCTTGGATCGGATCCCCTTGGCGACTAACTCTTTGCATTTTTCGGATACTTTATACGTTTTTCGGTTTTGGATTTACGACACCCATTTTTGACCACGGCGCAGCCTAGCGCCGACTTGCTGCAAGAGCATTCTTCCACTGAATTGTTGCCAACCCGCACGCAGGGGCTGTTAAGCGCTCATCTCGAGGAGAAAATTTTTGCTGAAAGTCTGTATATAGAGGTTATTAATGGCCCTGATGACGATTCTGACCTTTAAAATTGGCGTCTAGGTCATTTGGCGCCAACATGGCTCTGAACACCCCCTCACGCCAGCTGCGGGTTGGGATGCTGCGAGAATCTCTTGAGACTACAATGCTGCTGCCTCACTATGTGCCAAATAAGTACTTTTTTACCTTGAATTGTATTGTTTTCGATGCAGTGTCGACGAAGGTCTCATCTGCTATGCATACTTAACATTATGAATAGAAAAAGCCTCGGAAAAATGGTTCAAAATCGCTTCTCCCCAGCAAACTTTGCACTCAGTTTTTGACCTACCCAGAACGCATAGCAAAAAATTGAAGAACCGCGTTTGTGTCCTGTATTCAGACCTGCTACAAATTGCAAGATCATTTCGCGAAAAGCGCGCCAACGACCTGAAAGACTCGCCTTGTGAGCGTCACCAAGCGCTTGTGAGCGTCCACCAGCGTGTCAAGCGTCCGTCAGCGTTTTCAGCGATAAACTTTATCCATACTTTTTAGTCGCTGAAGACCCGGAAAACGCTAGCGGACGCTGAAAACGCTGGTGGACGCTCACAACGCTGACATACGCTCAAAAGCTGCCGCAAAGTAAGAACACTCCCACAACAGCACGGCAACTACAGGTGTCCAGTGTTAATTTGTTATGCGTCACGTTGTCTCCCAATAGAGAAGGAGCCTCAGTTACACTGCGTTCAACTTTCACTGCAGATGGAGGAAACTTACAAGACTGAATTGTCCTTCAGATATTCCAGAGAAATAGAGCACAATGTGACGAGGAACAACGGTAGTCGCAGCACGGAATTTCTTCAGGATTTCAACAATCAGTTCACTTAGCTTTGCTCCCATCATCTACAAGATAATACATTAGGGAAGGATTACGGATTACGGAAGAAGCAAGGGGGAACTTTAGAAATACTTACATCTGACTGGCGTGGCTTAATGAACACATAGTCGCCAATAAATTGCTGAGGATTCGCTGCGCAATTTGCTCCCCAGCCAAGAACAGAAGGCATCTGAACGATCAATAGAATGGGAATTATCTGAACCCTTCTGGTGGAAACCAACCTTGTAAGTCGCGCCGCGTTCAATGTCCAACTTCGAAAGTGGAGGGGGATTGGAGATTTCGAAGCCGACGAAAAGACGATCTTTGTCGTTCACCCACTTGTTCACGCTGGAAGTTATCACCATACACAGTCTAAAAGGAATAAGGAAACAAGGGACTTACGTATCACTAGGTTTTGATCCAAGCATCAAGTTATAGTTCATGCCACCAAGCTTCATGTTGATCTAAACAAGCTTCATTCACAAAAATGACGCCCATGCGCGCAAAAAGCGCTCACCTTCGCGACAACATTGTCGAGTGTCTGATTCTGGTTTCTATGAAGAACAGAATCAACTTTACTGCCCTTCACCTCTTGAGACACGATTTGATATTCGATTTCAAGAAGTTTGATCAAATCTAAAGTACGAAATAGAAATGCGTATTCCATGGTATTCGACGTGGAGCAATATTTGCCACAGGTACCGCACAGGTGCACGATTTAAT